CATTTCTTTTCCAGAATAGATCGGCATTTAGAGGAGTTACGGTAGGAATTTGAGTTACTTCTAAAAGTTCAACATTATTTATGAAACAAAACAAACAACAAAACAAATTTTCAGAAAAGTCTTTCCCAACTATCCTTTGAATCCGTTTCAACTTGCTGGCCTTTTACTCAAGGGAGAATTAAGGCTGAAAGAACCCGAATGTGAGGACATTTTAAAATCCATGATCACAAGGTTTGCTATGAGCATAATGATGCAGTGAACTGCAAGTGCAACTTCGAAAGAGAATTTTCATCATTTTCCTTTCAGATGCACGGAGATCAATTCCGATGCTAGACCAGCTATCGATGTAATTTATTCGGAAGTTATCACTTTAAACAGAGTGAGTCATTTGAATTTCATTGCATTAAACAAGCTTCTTCATTCAAAGCTTTTAGAACTATACCAGTTACCAATTTGAGCCAACAATTGACGAAACGGAGAAAATATTACGAAAACCATTGGGCTTCGATGGGCAAATTCAAGAGCTAAGTCCGCCCGTCTTTGATCAACCTTTTGCTGAAGATGAGTCTGATCCTCCCACCAGCACACCCACAAGCACTTCTGTGAATTCTAGCCCTGGAATACATGTGACGAGACGCTCAGAAACACCTGAGCCGCCATCAGAGCCACCAGAGCCACCAGTCCGTGTACGAGCAAAGCCAACCGTGCGTACATTATTAGTAAATCCAAGCTCGCAACATCCACCCGATCCTGAGCCAGAACCAATCCTTGTCCAAACAAAACCACCCGAAGGCGGTGTCAAGGCACTGATTCGACGGTTTGTTCAACCGATCATGCCTCAGCCTCCAAACCACAAGACCAAAATCCAACAAGAAAAACCCGCAGTCTTCCAAGCTTTCGTCAAAATTGATCCTAGAAGAAAAAGAAGTACAGTTGACTTCTCTGCAACTTGCACAAGAAGATCTTGTTTCGTGTCTAGTGGATAACGGTATGGATCTTTTGATTAAACATATCGAATCGACACAAGTTGCCCAAAAACCGGTTGAGTATTTGAAAGAAAGGCAAAGCGAAATCGAGCAATTCTTTAACAACTACACATTCTCTTTGGACACTGACCCACTGGAGACATTCCCAACTTTTGATGAGCTTCACTACAAGGGTCTATTGGACTTTTTCAGTAAATTTGACAGTGACTCAAAGAAAGCGTTGCTTGAGGTGTGTTCACTTTGGTTTAAAGTGCTTACTGGGGACGTGCGAGCTTTCAATGACGCCTTTACAAGAGCCTTTTACTGTTTCGAAAGCGAGTTGATCGATGAGTATTTTGTGGTCAAAGAACTCCTCGAAACACAACGGGATAGTTGGATTCGAAAGAAGGAGATCATTTTAAGCGAGTACAACTGGGCAAACTGCTGGACCATATGGCTTTTCTCGAAAAAGCAAATGGCATTTGTGAGTGAAAACCTCGATACTACGCTATACTATCAGTCAGTGTGCACCTGGAAGAACGATAACCTCATCTACAAGCAAGCTGATCAAATGATGTGTAAACTTTCAAATATTACAAAAGAAAAATGGTCTTTAGAGAGATTCCTCAAAAAGGTGAACTCAGAGATCGCAGAATACAAAAAGATACACTTCCCAAAAGAATGGGTAAACTCTGTGGCTAAATTTATTCCCGACAATCAACCCTACCTTTTCTTATACGATTTCCCGCCAGTGTGGAGTCATAAATGTTCTAAAGCAAAGCACGAAGAATATCAACTAGCTCATCAGCTATTCAAAGAGGCGTTTTCTTATTTCCAGAATCGTTATAAGTTATTCCACGTTGAACCAAAAGAGAATGATCAGATGGGCAGAGATTTGATCACTAAGTTCTATTCTTTAAAGTATGTTAAAGCTTTTTCTTTCATCAGAACCGAAAAGCCTAATCAATTACTAGTACAATGTCTTCAAAAGACAAAAGACAAAAGACAACGGACTCTTTTTCGATATTTTGATTTTGACAAAGGCTGCTTCACTACAAACCGACTGCTTACTCCAACAGTTGACGCTAAAAATGTCGTGTCGTTTTCCATTTTAGGAATGATTGGTGTCCTCGAAAAATTTGTCAGCTTTTTGCATACAAAAATTGGTGAGTTTACGCTATTCTCTAGAGTTTAAAAACAACAAAAAAATCAACCTACCAACCCAATCAACCTATTAAAGATATTATTGGGTTGTCCAGTTATGAATGCGCGTTTTTACTATTTTGTAAATTTCTCAAGATATTGAACAGATGTATATTCGAAAGCTGAAGATCTCCTTTACATTTTGGAATCCATTCAACTTTTTGGGAAATTGACTGCACAAAGGGAGAGGTCGTTTTCAAAAAAAACCCATTTCAGCTTAGCTATTCCTCAAGTTTTATGGTGTAAAATAACCGCACAGAAAAGAAAAGTAAAGTAAAGATGCTCTGAAATTGTTATATTTTTAAAAAAAAGTTATATTGATATATCTATTGGCCAAACATCAAACGGTTAACTCAATTTGAGCGGAGCCAAAACTTGATTCAAAGGCACCCTTTCATTTTTTGCCTACCTCTTCTTCTGTGCAGTCAATTTGCCCAAAAGCTGAACAAATTCAAAAACGTTTTATATCAAAATGTAGAGGAGATCTTCAGCTTTCGAGAATACTCATATATATCTTTTTCTTGATTTCGGTATCTTGAGAAATTTACAAAATAGTAAAAAGCGCGCATTCATAACTGGACAACCCAATAACATCTTTAAGCAACTTAGAAATCATTGAATTTATAGCCGTAATTCCTATTGAACAACGACGTGAAGCAAGCAATGAATGTCTGAAGAAAGCCTTCCAAACGGTCGAATCATTGAACTTTTCCTAATTAAATGTGAATTACGGTTGTGGAAACAAAAACTATGCGGCTTTTTTTTATCAAACCCTTTTGTGTTTTCTTTTTCCTAAACTGTTTTCTTTTGTTTTCTTTTCCAAACATTTACGCTAATCGCACTAATTAAGAAGACAATACTGTCAGAGCCTAAGCCACTAATTAAGAAGACAATAGTGTCACACTGTGAAATCTCTAACTTTATTTTAATAAAATTTTACGAAAAAGCTGGATACGAAAAAGTACCGTAAAAACTATTAATTCTCAATTCAAGCATGGGGAACACGATGTTCTATTTCTCATTCTCATCGGTTCACAAGAAAAACGCTGGCAAAGTTTGGGCGCTTACTCGGGAAATCGCACTTCGGGGATATACAGTGGCGGACATTTAAATAGAATCGATGCTCCATTTGCACAAAGACCACGAATTTTCCATTATTTTCACACCCATTCAAAAAGAAATCAACAGCTATTTTGAACATAATTTAGTATTTATTTAATAACTCAACAATTAACAAAAGTGTGTTTGAAAAATGACGACATTTAAATAGAACCGATCGTAAAAATGAATATGAAGTGGCAAAACCTTTGTTTTTGATGACTTCCAAGAGTCTACGCTTCATTAATTTAACTAACTTTTTGCAACGATCAACTGGTATCTTGTTCCAAGCCGTTTCGATATCTTTGAGGCATCTTTTAATAATAAGGCATCTTTTCCTTTTGGTTTCTGGGTCCTTATTTCTCTATTTACATCAATCCAAAGCATTTTAATTGGCGATAAATCGGGGCTTTGTGGCGACCATTTCAAGATCTTCCATCCCTGATTGATGAGGAACGTTTTTGCTTTCTTGGACGTGTGTTTGGGATCATTGTCAGCCTAGATGTTGATGTCAGCCTAGACGAAAGCTAAGATAACATAAAAAAATAGCTGTTGATGTCTTTTTGAGTGGATGTGCAAATAATAGAAAATTCGTGGTATTTGTGCAAATGGAGCATCGGTTCTATTTAATTTTCCGACACTGTATGGGATATATGGGCTCTTTCGCTTGCCTTCAAGCGTGACAGGATCGTGTAGAGGTAAGTGTTTGCGGTCTTAATCTCACTTTTGCTTTTTTTGACTTTTGCTTTATAAATGATTTCATTCTCGAATAATCCCAATCTTCTCTCAGCTTTCTTTTCCCTAAACTTTTTGCTTATTTGTATTATTATAGTTTTTCTGTGAATTGTCAAGTCAAGCCAGCCATTCGAATAAAACGAGAAAAAGAAATCCAAAAGAAAAAGAAAAATTGAAGAAAGTTTTTATTATGATTTTTGTTCTGAATCTAACAAGGGAAAGGTCAAGAGTCAAGCTGGCTTTTTGACTCGAGACCAAATCCATCAAATAAAGTCGGCCATGGGGATCTCAAACTCGTTTTTAGTTTTTGTAGAACGCTTCGTAAACGGGAGATAATTTCGAGCTCCTTAAGAAGCTGTCACACGTTTCCTTAGTATCAGAATCAGGAGATAAGTATTGAAAAATTTGACATTTGTTCCCACATTTCTGAAAGCTACAGTTCCAGCTACAGCTCCAGCTACAGCTACAGCTCCAGCTACAGCTCCAGCTACAGCTCCAGCTACAGCTACAGCTACAGCTACAGCTCCAGCTACAGCTCCAGCTACAGCTCCAGCTCCAGCTACAGCTCCAGCTCCAGCTACAGCTCCAGCTCCAGCTACAGCGCCAGCTCCAGCTCCAGCTACAGCTAAAATGCAATTCCATTATTCATTGCAAATACGTAAGGAAAAAGTTTTTTAAAAAAGCAGTTAAAAGTTTTAAAAGTTTGACGAGAGTGGGACTCGAACTTGAGGGCAAAAAACGCGATAGGTTCTATAGTCTAAGAGACTATCCACTACACCACCAAAGCAGTTGTTAGGGAAGCGTGTGACAACGTCATAAGGAGCTCGAAATTCTAGGTGATTTTCTATGCCAAATATCTCGCATTCGCGAAGCGTTCTGCAAAAACTAAAAACGAATTTGAGATCCCCATGGCCGACTTTATAAGATAGATTTGGTTTTGAGTCAAAAAGCCAACTTGACTCGGTGCCTTTCCCTTGTAAAAGCATCTCATCTGAATCATTTCTTTTTGCATACAGCATACGGTCTAATGATATCAACAGGTCCCTTTGTCGTGTAAACCCATAAGCCAACTTGACCGCAAGGAGAGCAACCATCAAAATTCGAGATCTATGAGATTACGTAGTAAAAAGTTTGTTTAGTAAAAGAGACCACAATAATGTCAGCATCTTGGACTCCATTTTGGCATGTATCGTGTAGATAGTCGTACGGCGTACCATCTAGCCATGTCCAGTTTCCATTGATCTGAAGTAAACTGTCAGAGGTATTAACTGATTTCAACTGAGAGCAACTGAAGCTCCGATTTTGGTTCCCTATCTCTATAAATTTGGTTCCCTACCTCAACAAATTTGGTTCCCTACCTCAACAAATTTGGTTCCCTACCTCAACAAATTTGGTTCCCTATCTCAACAAATTTGGTTCCCTACCTCAACAAATTTGGTTCCCTACCTCAACAAATTTGGTTCCCTATCTCTTTAAATTTGGTTCCCTATCTCTACAAATTTGGTTCCCTATCTCTATAAATTTGGTTCCCTATCTCAACAAATTTGGTTCCCTATCTCTTTAAATTTGGTTCCCTACCTCAACAAATTTGGTTCCCTATCTCAACAAATTTGGTTCCCTATCTCTATAAATTTGGTTCCCTACCTCAACAAATTTGGTTCCCTATCTCTATAAATTTGGTTCCCTACCTCAACAAATTTGGTTCCCTATCTCTCTAAATTTGGTTCCCTATCTCAACAAATTTGGTTCCCTATCTCTATAAATTTGATTCCCTATCTAAACAAACTTGGTTCCCTATCTCTATAAATTTGGTTTCATTATTATTCAATTGAAGCTCCAATTGAGCCTGAGCTTTCCAATTCACCTTTTGAGCGCCAATGTTGTAGACAGCAAATGAGTGCTCCTGATGGTCATGCACACATCCATCAGTGCAAGAACAAAGATCTAAAACTAATGGGTTAAAAAAAAAAGAAACAGACGATAACTGGTAACGAAATCGTTTTCTTCATCGCTGTGAATCGACGCAAGTTGTCCTCCATTACTCACGCAAAAGCTTTTCGCATCATCATAATTGAGATCTTCAACAATCTAGGAAAATCTTTCAAAATGTTAATGGTTTAAGGGTATTTTTCTGTTATGAGGGCCGATTTCTCATAATGTCTGGTACTTTTTTGCAGAGCATCTCTGGGGCTCTGCAAAGTGGAGAAACAAAAAGCACAGAGAAGTACCAGGTACTTCCAAAAAGCACGGCCTGCTTGAAAGGAAGTACCAGATACTGTACCAGATACTTCCTTTCAAGCAAACCGTGTTTATCATGCGACAAAAAGTTGGACACAACCATATGTACGATTGGATCTTATCGCTTATTTCAAGTGCTTAGGCTTTCAAGTGACTTTCAAGTCCTAAGCCTCAAATTATTTAAGCCACCAGTAAATGTTGTGATTTATGTAGAAAGTTTTTTTAAATACAAAAAATGGGTCATCATAATGGAAATGAGGAAGAGATGAGAAATGGGCGCTCATAACGGAAAAGTACCGGTTTAAGTTTCAAACCATGTAAGAATATCCAGTTAGGGGAAAGTATTGCCATCCCTGTTGACAATGGTAAAGCTCTAAAGTTCAATTTGAACAGACACAAGTTTGCCTAAAAATGAGCCAAATGAAATAGTTAATTCTTTTTATTTAAAGCAAATTACACATTGATTAGTTAATTATTCATTTATAAACGAAAATTTCAAAATTTCAAAGCCGAACAAGACTTTCCGGCAAAACCAATACATTATAGAGACAATACGGCATTCAACAGACTTAATCCTATTCATAATATCACCTGGTAAACATGAGGGTGATGTTGTTGTAGGATTTACTCGAACATCGCAAAGAAAATTCATATTTTGAGAGCACAAAGACATCTTCCAAAGTTGATCGATTGAATCCAAATAAACACAATCACCAGAATCGACTGAAAATTGAATCCAAAAGATCTATAGAGTGCGTGATCTAAAGATCTACAGAGTTCGTGATCTAAAGATTGTTTCACTTCAATTTTATTCATATAGAACATTTTATAGAACTTTTTATGACAACATTTGAGATACCCTCTGATCACAGCCGAAAATAACTTTCCTAAACACTTTAAATGACTATTTAGCTACTAAAACATTATCTTGAGGACTTTTTTCCATTATTCACATCTAGCTAGTCATTCGCAGGAAATTTTGCTTCTACAATCCGGGTTTTTTTTTGAAAAGAGGTCACCAAAATTATATTAGACCTCAAAACTGCACAAGTCGATCTGAAGACGGACCTTAAATGGGAAAGAGGATACTCAATTGCAAATTCAAAACCGTAATGAATTATAACAAACTGTTTTTATAGCTAAAAAGTTACAAAAAAACTTTTGAAAATACAAAATTCTAATTTGCTACAAAGCTAAGAAGCTAATTTCTAACAGGAGTGACATTCTCTCAAATGATAGTGTTAAGTAAAAACGAATTACGTTTAGAAATAAACAAATTCTTTTTCATTTTTGAAGGTAACAGAATTGAACCAAATTTGTAGAGAAAAGGAACCAAATTTGCAGAGAAGGGAACCAAATTTGTAGAGAAAGGGAACATAATTTGTAGAGAAAGGGAACCAAATTTGCAGAGAAAAGGAACCAAATTTGTAGAGAAAAGAAACCAAATTCAATTTCACATTACCATTCTAGAGAAGCTCAATCTTTTTTTGCAACTTACCAGACTTTGCAAATCGCTGATAATCAAAAGGTGTCCCGTCAGTCCAAACAAACGTTCCAGTGGTATTCTGAGCGCCCAACCAAGTTTTGCTATTGCCAGTGGAACCTAAAACATTAAATAAACAATGTTTCTCCGTTTTATAAAACTTAAAGCCAATTGGGCAAGTAAGCCGTTTTGAAAAGCGTTATGAATTGAAAGAAGATTGCCGCCGATTCGAGAACAATCCTGTTGAGCGTTAGTCCAACTTTCTAGAAAATCAGCTTTAGTTTTTCATTTTGTTTACAATCGGCTAGCCACTATTTAGTAATTTCATTTCAATTTTTACCAGAAGAATTTAGAAAAGCTATGCACAGATCAAGATCCGAATTGTACAGATAAGGCGGAGGACATTGTTGAGCAAAGGAACCACAGAATAGCAGAATCAAAAAGTAAAAAGTATCGTTCATTGTTTTACAAGAAGATCACTTCGAGTTACCACGGTTTCGAAGAATTTTCAACAATCCATTTCCAGCTTTTCAGCTGCTTATCACTGCTACCGACAAAAAAGGACCGCTCCTTGTGACTTTGCTCTTTGATTTGCACTTGTCTTAAAAGACTAATGAGTGGATTCCCGTATTTAGCCGTTTTCATGGTATGGATTTCCGTATTTAGCCATTTTCATGTTATAGATTTCCGTATTTAGCCGTTTTCATGTTATGGATTTTCGTTTTCACCTTATATTAGGTTGCTGAACTGTGCAATATGCAGATAAATGGATCTAAAAACACAAATTTTTAGGTGCATATTATATTATTTTATTTTATTTTAGTTTATTTCTTTTTAGCTAGCTTTCTGGTGGGGTAAAAGAAAAAGCGAGAAAGAAAAGAACTCTTTTGCAGCCGTTATTTGGCTTTGAGTGCAGCTCTGTTAGCTTTAATTCAAGCAACAATTTCGCCATCAATTCTCCTTTTAAAAAGCTTTTCAATTGGCTTTATTTGGCTTTTTATTTGGCTTTGACTTTATCAATTATTTTATCATTATCTTTTTTCAAAAGCAATCAGTTGGGAAAACCTTTTTGACAAGCACCTCGAGAAGGGAAATCGACAAAAAAAGGAATTAATAACGTTTTCATGCCTTGAATTTTTTCGGGTATTATGCAAAACACAACAAGTACGCTGCAAAAAATTCTCAAAACATTTCGAAGAAGTTTTGGTACAATAAAAGGTTGTTCCAAAAACGGCCAACAGAAAAAAAAGAAGTTGAACTTTTCAAGTAAACCTTTTTCTATCAGCACCAAGCTAGAAAGCTTATTGTTGGCGCATACGATGTATAATGTCTAATTATAAACTAGAAAAGCCCAGTTAAAAGTTTTTAAACTGGTTTTAAACTAGAAAAGCCCAGTTTTATTACACCTAATCACTCAAATCTCAACTCTCGAGAGTCACCTTCGAAAATTTAGCAGATTTAGGTGTTGTATTATGTAATTTAGATGATTGCTTTGGCAAGAAATAAACCTTTTGATCTAAACGATGTCTAAGTTAGAGTTTGTTAAAAACGAGCCGGGGCGGGTCGCGAGCCGAACCTAAAAAGCCGGGCCGTCCATCCAACAGTTCAGCCGATTCGAAATCAAGAATTAAAACGCTGACACTTTTTGTTGTTGTATCATAACAAATGTGGTTAGTTCTCCTTTTCCAGCTATTCAATAAAATTGTCACAAAAACTTGACGAAAATCGTGAATAGTTACCAAATGTTTATTGGAATGGTGTTAATGTCAATAAATAGATGCTAGCTGATAAACAACACTTAAAAAGTCCTCGTCAACGATTCTAGAGTGTGAATCGAACGTTGTCCTTCCACAACTAGGCCAGTGATTTTCCTGAGATTCAAATAAATTTCTTTTCGTAGTTCCCTCGAAGTGAGCAAGAGCCAATAAGGTTGATAGTTTCCGACAAACAAAGCAACCACACTTGACTAAAAATCTTTTTCGAAAGTTTTCCAGTTTTAGAAATCTAACTAAAGTCTCAAGGGAATGATAATTGCCTTATGAAAATGCACGAAAATAGACAAGTTGAACGAAAACTGGGTAATGATATACAAAACACTTACAAATGAAGCGATGAGCGATGCCACGGAGAGCTGATTCCCAGTGAAGGCCGCATAGGAGAGAGCAGTCTGTAAATTCTGTGAAATGATTTGAGTTTATCGGACATCAAAGAGGAAATAGTTTAAAGAATTTCTTGGCCCTTATAGACATTTGGCCTATACAAATGTAGGCACATGGGCACTAAAAACTACAAAAAACGACGAACTGTCACATTAGAAACGCTTCTAACTTTTTTCACATATACCGGATTGACATGATCTATAGCTCAAAAATAGAGAATCTCAAGAGCTTTCGAATGAATCAAAGCACACTCAAAAATATCAATGCAAAAGAAAGTTACAGTGGTTTGACTCGAAACGAACCGTACTCGCGAGTAGTTGAAGCTACAAACCACTATAACATTCTTTTGCATTGATATTTTGAGTGTGCTTTTGTCCATTCAAAAGCTCTTGAGATTCTCTATTTTTTGAGCTATAGATCATGTCAATCCGGCAAATTTAAAGCAAGTTGGAAGCGTTTGTAGTTTACGTTTGTATTTTGTAGTGCCCATGTCTACAAGAAACTCACAAAGAAAAGAGCGGCCGGGATTTGCATGAGTGTGCTGAGGGATGGAGATGCCAAACAGGCTCCATTGGTATTTTCTTTCCGTCAGACCTCTAAACTTTTTTATTCATTGAAAGATATTCATTAAAAAAACTTTTAAAGCTTTGATCTATGATTAAACTGGTGCCGTTTTTTAAATGCAAAGAAACTTCTTGAAAACGGGACATGTGATCGGTATGAGTTAGAAACGCCATTTAATTGTAACAATTCAAATACTTTACCTCATTTCCCATATTGTTAGCAAATTCATGACCAGACAGATCAAGGCCACCGTTGACACTGTGACCGCATAGTAAAGCCGATGCCACTGAAAGATAGGAATAGCTGATGATCAAATGAAAAATTCGAACCGCATCGAAACCGGGAATTTGCGGGTAGCCCAGCGAGGCGTCTTTCCATCCCCACAGGAAAATAAAGGTGATCGAGTGACATTGGGAGAGAAAATCGAGAGACAAGATGAGTCCGATGGCCAACTTCAGGTTGCGTCCGTTGTTCTCTTCCCAAATCTGTGCAAAAAAAGTTTAAATTAAAGTAAACGCAAAGTGAACTCACAAGCTTGACTTCTGAGTTAAAGCTATTCATTAAAAAGCTACTATGCTAATAGAAATTTTTAAAGCTTTAACTGCGAATAGGCTTGTTACTACCGTAAATATTCTAATAGAAGTCCCCTCCCTAAAGGAGCGTCTAGTCTAAGCTTACTCTCAAAAAACGCTCAAAGCTCGACACCAGTAGGTTAGTTTCTGGGCGCTTGGGTATCAAATTAAAGTAGAGAAGATGGGTGATTTTTGAGATATAAAACATCTTTTTAGCATTAACCAGCGCTTCGAAAAAAATGATTGAAAAGTGGCAAAAAAGCCGATTTTTCATCATTTTTCAACTATTTTTTCTACGCACTGGTTAATGCTAAAAATATGTGTTATATCTCAAAAAATCACCCATCCTTGACTTTAATTTGATACCTAAGCGCGCAGAAACAAACGTACTAGTGTCAAGATATGAGCGTTTGTTTGAGAGTCAACTTTGAAAGTAAACTAGACGACGTGACGCTTCTATAGGAAGCTTTTATTCGAGTATTTACGATAGTAACAAGCCTATCAGAGCCTATCAAGCCTTTTATTAGAGTATTTATGGCAGCATGTTAGTGGTTTTTCATGCACACCGCTCACCTTTTTATGTTTGAACGGATAGAGGACACTTGTGAGGCGATTCGCCGACATTACCAAACACAACAAGGAATGCCCGTATCGAAAAAGCTAAACGAAAATCCGTCGACACATTACGTCAAGTCAACATACTTGCAAGAAAATTTGCAAGATCGTTCGCCCCGATGGAGACGACAGAAGTAGTGGCTGAATTTGAAAAAACGGAAAGGAGGCCAGATCGATGACGCCTGAAAATGTACAGTCCATCTTCGTCAATGACTTATGAAAAAACCCTGAAAGATAGAGTGTGCTCCTCTCAAATCATGTTTTCTAGAAAGTGCTAAACTATCATAATCTCACAGTTCATAATTAGAACGTTATTTTCATTTTCCGACGTCATTTTCATTTTCCAAAGGCAAAAAGGAAATGTAACTATTGCTTTTATTCTGTATTTTTTTGCAAACAGAATTTAATTTAAATATTAAAGAGTTAAAGGATTGGAAAAGATTAATAATCAAAAGAAAGGGGCAAGAAAGGCTAGAAATTGATTCACATGCTAGTTCTTGAAGCTAATCAGCTTTAACTTCGGCTATGAAATGAACAAATCTGAAAAAGCAGCTTGAACTTATCTCCTATTGGATCTTTGCCAGTTAAGGAAAGGCAAATTAGGCTCTATGGAATTAAAAAAATGCTGACCTCTCTTTCTTTGTTGCCCTTTCTTTCGTCTTTTTCTTTCCTTTAATCTTTTCTTTTCTTTCGTCTTTTTCTTTCTTTCGTTCTTTCACTAAAGAAAAGCAATTAACCTAGGTAGATTTTTAAAACATCAAAAATACAGGGTTTGGTAAAATTACTCGGACAAGAAACTTGTTTGAATGTTATTCGTCAACCGTTCCATAAAACTCCTATAATTCTTTTTCTATAAACTCTTAATTATCTTCAAAAAAAGTAGTCACAGTTTCTTAGTCTTAATGTTGTTTTTTCTCGAGTTTTTCAAGAATCAAAAAAAGCGCTGGAAAGGGGCAAAATGAAGCTCCGCACCAGGATCGATTTTATCCGATGCTTTGTCGTTCGAAAGAAAAGCCGGTCAAAGAATTTTTCTTTTCAATAATGTCCCAATAGGTTAAGGAATGAATCAATTTACTATGGAGAAAATTATACGGTTAAGTTGCAAAGTTACAACGAAGAACTCTTGTCCGGGCAATTTTGCTCCCTGTATACAGAAAAAAACTATCCTGGCACGTTGTTCGTCTTTTTCTCCTTTCTTTGACGATGTTTGACCTGATTGACCATGTTGTTCGTCTTTTTCTCCTTTCTTTGACGGTGTTTGACCTGATTGACCATCTTCTTCCCTTTTTTGTTGTTTCTAAAAACAAATATTTGTTTTAAATTATAAAATTCCGATAAGAATAGAAAAAAAGAAGTAAAAATAATAAAATAGATAATAACTCAGAAATAATAAAAGAAAAGCGAAAAAACGGGATGGGACAAATGCTACCTTTTTGCGCACCTGGACATTTGCGCACCTTTGCTGGAAAAGGCCTTAGGAAGGTCGTAGAGCTTCAAAAATGTTTTCATAGAAGGGAATCGTATGCGTAGATTCAGAATTTCGACAAATCAGACCTCGCTGACACGTTAAATTTGGGCTAAAAGGCAAAAACTACGCAACTTAACGCTTTTCCGCAGTTTTTGCCTTTTAGCCTAAATTTAACGTGTCAGCGAGGTCTGATTTGTCGAAATTCTGAATCTACGCATACGATTCCCTTCTATGAAAACATTTTTGAAGCTCTACGACCTTTCCTAAGGCCTTTTCCAACAAAAAAAGGTGCGCAAATGTCCAGGTGCGCAAAAAAAAGGTCGCATTTGTCCCACCCCCAAAGAAAAGCGAAAAAAACAGCGTTTAGAAAAGCGCGCTTTTAGAAAATGACTTTGCTAATGAGCACCTTTTAGAAAACATGATTTGAACGTTTTGATTTGATAGGAACACACTTTACTGAAGAGGGTTCTTTCAATCAGGAGTTAAGTGAGGTCAATTAAAAACGATTTTCTTCCCTCTTACGATCGAACCAGACCTAGTCTGAACCAAAAAAGCTCTATTCGATGATATTTTACAGCAAAGAAACACTGACCAATAGTGAGGAAAATTGTGAAAAACGATGAGTCGAAATTTCGATTTTTACTCCTCCATATCGTCACCTCGACCAACAAAGTACAGGGAAAAACGAGAAATATCCGTAAATGTCTTGCCACAGAGGCATATATGATTATAAAAGAGTTTGAGTACTCGAAGAAGACGCAATCAATGATTTCAAAGGCGTAATTATTTTTAAATGCTCGGCTAGACTTTTTTTGTCTTTACAAAAGCACTTTTAATGATTTTTGACGATTTCTTTTCTCAGGGAATACAGTTTAGTTGGAGAACTAGAAGAAATTAATTGGTTTTAGAAATCTGACTTCCTCATTTTAAATGAGATCACCAATTAAATGAGATCTGTGAGACCACCACCCAAATTGTGACTCGTTTTCTTGATATAAACTTCAGAAAGTCTTCTTGACCAAATTGTGGCTTTGTGGCATTGTGGCTCGTTTTCTCAATTTCAAAAGTGTAACAAAATGAAACCAACATCATAAAGATTGGCCGACTTAGAAGAGAAGTTATGGCGAGTTGCGCAATGACCCAGTTGCGCAAAAAATTTCGCGCAAAGTAGCCTATCCCACTACTCACCCGCAAGGGAGCACACTCTAGTTCTTACAAGGGAAGATCAAGTGGGCAAGGCGACCAAATGGCATGTGCCATATATCATTCGACCATTTGTTATATACCATTCGACGGGCAAAAACGACGCGACAGCTACTACCCAAAAGGTCAAGGGGTTCGATTCTGGCTCGCGACAAAAACCCTGACTTTTTTGCAAAGCTCTCAAAAAATTTCTCAAAATCTCAAAATGCAAAGTTTCTAAGGGTAATTTCATGCGCTGAGTACGAATAACGCGTCTTTAGCTCTTCTGAATTGGGTCAATCTTTATTATGTTGGTTTCATTTTGTAGATCTTTAGCTATGTTACCAAACACAAAACTATCGAAATGCAATTTTGGCTTTTTTTTCTTTACAAAGCACTTTCTTTTAATGATTTTTGGCGATTTCTTTTCTCAAAGTGGGAATACAGTTTAGTTTGAGAACTATAAGAAATTTAATCGGTCTTTAGAAATCTGACTCACTTTAAAATGAGATCACCAATCAAATGAGATCTGTGAGCCCACCACCCAAATTGTGACTCGTTTTCTTGATATAAACTTCAGAAAGTCTTCTCGGCCCAATTGTGGCTCATTTTTGGTTTCATTTTGTAGATCCTGGTCAAAATGCAACAAAATGGATAAAGATTAGCTTACTTAGAAGAAAGGAAGTGGCGAGTTGCGCAAACGACGCAGTTGCGTAAAATAACTTTGTTGCGCAAATAAAATGGCGGAAATTACTCTACCCTCATCTTTTGGTAAGCCACTTTTGCTGCTAAAAATACGGTAATTTTTTCCTAAGTGTGGGTGTCGAAAAACGCATCATTCTATGAGGAACACACATTAGTAAGAACTTGATTCTTCTGTTTACTTTTTTACTTGTTGTTTGTTTTTACTGTTTACTGAATCCAAAACCTCGAGGAAAGGTGACGAATTTGAAAAAAAGATTTTTAAAGAAAACAGAAAAAAACAGCAATTTTTGAGAAAAAGAATCTATCTTCTTTTTAACGGCAGAATGTTAGGGATAAGTCCTGAACAGCTTAAATGGACAGTCTGGGGTAGCATCGACATCTTGAGGAGAGCCTCCCAGCATCCAAGCGGGGCACCGGAGGCAAAGTGATGTTGGTTATTTTGATCGATTATGGGCTTATGGGCTTATGAGCTTTTTCCAGTCGATCTTTGAGATCATTGTTGAAAAACAAGTTCGTTTTTCAAGCTTTCAAAACAAGCGTGCAACATTGTAGCTTTCACTTAAATATTTGAATTTGAATTGAATTGGATTTGAATTTGAATTTCGGAAGAATTCTTAAATCCGGAAGATTATCTGGGCTTTGATAA